AGGGTTTAGGTTCCGAGTTTAGGGCGTAGGGCTCCCTTACCGGAAGCCCGACAGAGGTGTGGGAGAGGCCGTGAACCCAGGAGGACATGCAAAAGGGTCGAGATTCATGTTGCTTAGAATCAGGACACGTTGTTGGGGGATGGCATCGTATAGCTACGATATGACCACATGAGGACGATAAGCGTACTCCGTCCGACCCCTATATCGGTACAAACGATGAGTCGCTCGTGCAGAGTCGCAGAGTGGATGTTAAGATCCGCCCATGTTTCGAAGCTGCCTATACACAGAAGCAGTTCAGGGCTTTAGGGTTCAGGGTTAACGTCAAGCAGCAGCCTTGAGTTTAGGGCTTTAGGCTTTAGGGCTTTAGGGCTCAGGGTTAACGTCAAACGGGCAGCTGGAGTTTGCAAGCTCAACGCCTGGAGCCTAGGGACTCCAAAAACCCTCAATTAAGGAATGCACCTTAAGGTATGATCGGATCTCTAATATAATCTCTTTATTAAAGTATATTCCTTAATTAAGGGGTGTTGGAGCCTCTAGGAGGATGGGGCCTCAGGTGCGCCAAGTAGAACGTACTGTCGGGACCTCCTTTAAAAATTGGAAAAGGGCTTTGGGCTCATGCTTATGATATAAATAAGAAGGAACCCTGAGGAATGATCTTGGTAATTCTTTAGGCTTCTACACCCTAAAACCCTTTTTTGCATCCAGCCTGCAAGAGCCTCTGAAACCCCTAAACCCCTAAACCTACACTACCTGCTGACTGGGTCGCCTGACCGGGCTAACCTTTCAAGCCGAGAGGAAAAAGTCTGTGGAACATTGGACCAAGACGATTCCTCTAGCCCAAACCCACGAAGCCCTAAACCTAAAAGCCTGAAAGCCTCATGCCTTCATTAACATGAAGCCTTAAACCGCAACCACCGTTATTTTTTTAATAATTTTCCTGAACAAAACGGAGCCGGCATCGCAGAGAGAGGGGAGGAAGCACTGACAGGCCATGACGAGTAAGCGGAGGCCCCGCACAAATCCTCGCTTTAGGCATTCAGGGTTTATGTCCCTAAACCCTAAACCCCTAAACCCCAAAAAGTTTAGGCACTTAGAGATTTAAGGGCTTGGATGCTCAGGGTTTAATCCACCTCTCCCTACTCGGAAGCTGGATGTTAGGGCTTTGCGGGCTCCGGTCTGACAATACATTCTACGATACTATACTATACTATACTATACTATATTGTACTACCGACTATACAATATTATACTATACTATGTGATAACATAGGGTACTATAGCAACGAAAGCCCACGATGCTAAAAGAGAGCTAAGCGAAAAGGCGGCTGCCTGAAACCTGGGCCTGGGGCACCGTAAGTTCCGGATTTGGACGTTCTTGTGACATAGGGGCCGTTAAACCATCACAAAGGGTTTTTGCAGTTGCTCGAAGAAAAGCTCTGAGAGGGACATTACGCAACTTTCTGCTTCATTGCGACTTGCTCAGTCACCTGTGGCATGTGGCAGGGCCAGAGTCCTTGAGTTCTTGGGGAATCTTCATTCAGTCTGACTTAGATGCAGAGACTGAGACAATGCAAAACAAGGTTTTTGGCACAACGTGTTCGAAGTAAGTAGCTTGCAGCTCATGGCTGCTGTTGGCCCGGACGGGTCTTTGGAACCCAAAACCCAGATATTGTGGATACTGCGACCAAACCTTCCCCCGATACTCTATACCATAAAATGGCGATGCCTTAATATCACGAAATAAATTATACCCGTCATCTGACCGTCTATTCACGTTGTGTTAGGCTTTCTGGGCATGGGGGCTTCAGATATTAGGGCAGTTACGTAGACTCCCTGTACGGCACGAGGAATCTGTACCGCAATCGCGCATTCATGCACATTCTAAAACCTGCAACCCGGCACAGACTCCCCAATGAAACCTTCACCCTCAACTCCTAACCCTATAGGTTTAAGAAACCACCTGCATACCAAGGCAAGGCGCTGAAACTTCTAAGCATGCGCAGCGACCGGAGCGACTTAATGACCTTGTAGGCTCTGGGATCGTGCATGCATGCTCGCTTGAAAAGGGCTAGGCTATATATGGGTTTGAAACTCATGCGACCTAGGTATTGTACCTGTAGTTTGAAGTCTACAGTCAACATGAGGCAGGAACGGGTTTATGATGACGTGCTTGCGGCTTATAGCCGTCTGAGTGCGGTGCAAGTGGGGTCAAGTTGACACTACGCTTCGTGTGGTCGTCTGGGCTGCTTCTGAAGGCAAAATAAGCGAGTTCTAGGGTTCAGGGCCAAGGTTCAGGGTTTAGGGCCGAATCCACACCATCATATAATTATCCGTTACGAAATACACGAGCCAAAAGCCGAAATGAAAGCACTGTTCAGGATTCGCATGCACCCGGCCGCAGGTCTTCGGGAAAGACGGAAGACGCCCAAAGCTCGACGACGCGTGAAGACATCGATGCTATGTATGAAGTGTCAAAAGAGCTTACGCCACGCATTTTCACTGCAACGAAACATGATGCCCTCAAATGATCCAAAGAGTTTAGTTGGTGTTCTTTAAAGTAAGGTCCCTGTTTAGGTCCCCCCCAAAATAGTACGGCAGCCTTATAAAAAGGACTCTGCAAGGGAACCTGATTTAGAGAACCACCCATTTAGGGGTTGACAGAACCCTAAACTTAACCCTAAACCCTAAACTTTGAACCGTGACAGAGGCCTGAATCTTATCGGCCAAGCTGCACGCACCAGCCGCATGAGGGACTGGTCCTGGTCTCCGCCACCTGAGCTGATCTTGAGGTTTGGTTTAGGGTTTATGGTTTAGGGTTTAGGGCTACTACCAGTCCTCCAGGGTTTGGCGTTTGGGGTTTACGCGCTCGCAAGGGAGGGCTTGGCTCTGACAACTATGGGACATCTGGTCCGTCCGCTTCCCGCTTTCTTGTGCAGACAGACGTCGTTGTTCCTTGTTCACGTGCCCTTTGAAGCAGCCAGTCGTCTGCACGAAACAACCCGAGCTTTGGCCAACATTCTCTACGATTTTGTCATCTCACAACCCTTTACTACACCCTACAACACGCAACCAACCCTAAACCCAAAACCCTAAGTAGGATCCGTAATATAAGGACCCCCAAATAAGGTACCCCTTATTACAGGCCCCCCAGTCAAGGTGCTGCTGAGCATAGGGGCGGCAATGAGCCTCCAGCGAGGACAGGAGAAATGAGCCCGACGAGGTTTAGCACAAGAGCCATGATCACCAGAATAGGATGCCTTGGGGTATTTTAGGGTTTAGGGTTTAGGGTTTAGGGTTTAGGGTTTAGGGTTTAGGGTATCTTGGGGTGCATCATACTCAACAGCGGCCATATTCTGATTAGCATGGCTCCAACATTCTGGGCCTCTGAGCCTTTCAGAGTTGCGCTTCAGAGGCCCCTTCGCTCTGCAGATGCTTCAGCTCTCCAGTGCCAATGACACCCCAGCCCGTAACCCACGAACCGGTAGAAAGGGTCACTTCCCCTCGGCGGCGACCGGCTGTAGGATGGGGGAACTAGCTTGGCATGGAGCGTAGGGGATGCTGTTGATAAGTGTCAGTTGCGGTTGCCGATGGTGCAATGGTAGCCATAGATTTGCTCGCATCAGGGCAACCCAGTGCGACGACTGCAATTCTGAACCATAAACCCAAGCCGCCGCCCGGCACTAGTTCCAATGTCTTTCGTAGAACGTCTGGAAAGCACACTTGGGTCCGCGATCCGCAGACCCAGTTCAAAAGCTCCAGGGCGAGTCGCAGGTTCGCGAGACCCGCTACCACGATGAAGCCATCGAACCAGTTGGCCACGTCCCTCACGAAGCCTGATGTGAGGGTTTCCGAAAATGGGGGACCCTAAAATGGTACCCTAAATAATAGGATCCTTATTATAAGGACCAAAAAATATGGTACCCCTTATTTTCTGAAACTCCCATGTATTTTGAGGGTTTAAGCCCTAAGCCCTCAACCCTAGAATGTTGAGGGCTTCAGGTTTAGGGTTTAAGGTTCAAGGCCCCTTGGTTTGGGTTGCCCTTCTCGATTTGTGGTGTCGTCGGTTTGGGTCTTCAGGGTAAGGCTATAGGGTCTGGGCCGACGGAATTACCGACAGCACGGCATGGCAGCAATCGTAACCAATAAGTTCGTCAACAGCCACAGAGATCAACTCAATCGTCACAAACTTTATGCTTCTTTTGCTGATGGAGCTGGAAGTTTTTCAGGCTTCGATACTCTACCCTGGGGGTTTGTGTTTGAGGTGAACTACGTTTAGGGTTTCTCCTTTGTGTTTTACGGCTGAGTGTATCGGCTCTTGCACTTCCTACTGAGGATGTACCTGGCTTTGTAGGTTTTGTTGCCGTAGGGCCGTTTTTTTTTCAGGGCTTCTGTCCCCAAGCCCAAAACCCCTCCTGCATTGGGTCTTGGGCATAATCTTTGCTGCAGGACCACGAAATAGTGATCTGCAGGAACATGAGCTTAGCGGCTGGGAGCTGCAGCACAGCAGGGTTTATGGTTTACGCTCTCGCAACTCGGACTCTGCCAAACGAGGGTTTATGGTTTGGGGTTTAGGGTTTATCACGCTTTGGGTAGATTCGAGCTTCTCTGCCGGCATCGCGACTCTTGAGGCACGTGAGACTGTGCTGGACGTGGCTGGAGACTTTCAGTAGGGCATTCCTCTACCCTGATTATGATCACTACGGGTAGCATCCCACATACTCTGCACAGGAATCTGGAGGTGCGCTCTGAGCACACTGTCTGACACATTGTACGGTCCACTGTCCAGAGTTTATCCCACTGATTGAGGACCACATGTGAGAATATCCTGCAGCTGGTCAGATCCTCTGTACGCACAATCCCCACCTTAGATCCCTAATTCCGAAACCCTAAATAACCTTCCACCCTATATGAGCCTGAACCCTAAACCCTAAACCCCATACAAACCCGGCAAAGATTCAAAACCCATCCAGCCACTCTGAAGCTGAGCTGCCCCTTCGATCGAGCAAAACTCGGATGATAAGCTCCACGGCAAAGACCTGAGAAAATTACTTCGGTGGCGGCACCCAGAACAGTGTAGACTTTTGTTAGCCCTACGGCTTTATAGTACTATAGAAACTCTAGCATTAAGATAGTACTGTAGTATTACAAGGGTATTCGGTAGAGAGTCCGAAAAAATCAAACTTACCGACTCAGCCACTCGACGTCCTCGACAGGCCTCCGCCAACCGAAGACCCCTGCATGCTATGTAGGTTTGAACGCTTCAAGTTTAATGTCATAGGGCCGGTAGAAGCGAAAAACCTCCCAAGCGTACGGCAAATGGCTCGTTCGTCCCAGACAACCTCGCAAAAACTAAGCCCTAACTTACTTCTCCAATAAGTTGAGGAAATAAAAGGTCAAACTTTCAGATTACTATAAAGTCTTAAATTCAGTCACAAGAACCCAAAAAAGTTTTTGAAAGGTTGGGTATTGGAGAACTAAGCTACACCCTGAACTAGGAAGAACAGGCCGCAAAGCCTTCAACCCTAAACCCGAAGTTCGACAACCCTGCAAGCCCCGTCAGGTTCAGGCTTTAGGGTTTAGGGGTTTAGGGTTTAGGTTTAGGGTTTAGGGTATAGGGTTTCGGGTTTAGGGGTTTAGGGTTTAGGGGTGAGGATTTAGGGGAAGCCCCGTCTGCAGAGACTAGGCACGAAAACGAAGACGCTATCGGTGGTTCGGAGAGCCGGTGCCCAGTCCTTCCGAGAAACAAAGAGCAAGACCAGACGCTCATCATGATGGTTTAGGGTTTACGGATGCCTAGGGTCTACTGTTTCGGGTTCTAGGGTTTAGGGTTAGGGTTTGGGAATTACGGTTTAGGAGTTTGGGTCTAGGGCTCTAGGGCTTTCAGGGTTGAGGGTTCAGGTCCAGGCTGGGTTCAGGGTTTTGGGGTTTAGGGGTTCTACTAGTAGACACTCGTAGTACCAGGAACAGTCAGGTAGAAGCGCTGATGGTGGTAGTGGCAAAGGTAGTTGTAGTCGTCGGCAGAGTCGTAATCGAATCGTCGCATAGTGGTCTCGTCGTAGTGTCATTTAAGTGCTGGTCTGCGGTCGGTGGTGGTGGTGGTGGTTGTGGTGGTGGTGGTGGTGGTGGTGGTGGTGGTGGTGCCGGTGGTCGGTGATCGTGCTGGTTGGTGGTGGTCGCGGCGGTCGTGGTGGTTGTCGTGATCGTGCTGGTCATGGTGGTCGCGGTGGTCGTGGCGGTCGCGGTGATCGTGCTGCTTGTGGTGGCCGAAACTGAGATCACCGAGCTCCGGGTTTGGGGCGCAAACCCAAAACATCAGCAGCTGGATCGGAGCCACAAGCCCTGATGACGTGTACGACTGTTGATACACTTTGAGGTTTACCTACAGTCTCCATTGTAGTTCCTCTTTGTCGTTTAACCACTTTGATATTTGGCAGTTTAGCATCCTATAGACCCAAAAAACTATGAAGACCATCGGCAGGCTGTTAAAACTCAATACATTCGCTTGCAGCAAGTGCAACAAGGGTAAACTCAATGCCCTCCGCCCTTAACCCTGCATGATAAATGCAGGAACGTGTCCTGTTGGGCCCACGGCTTCGTGCTAAACCCTTTCTGCATCCAGGCTTAGGAAGTCGAGACAGCTTCCCCAGACTCTAAACACTCAACCCCTTTTTGTTACACAGGCTTGATTAGTGATCGCCCGGCCAAATTTCCCTCAGCACGTCGCACTCGTGGCGAGATGCTCAAGACTAAGTACACGCAATCTTCACCCTAAAGCTTAAGCCCCCAAACCCCTAAACCCTAAACCTGAACCCGAAACCCTGAACCTGAACCCCCAAACCCTCAACCCTAAATCCGAAACCCTGAACCTGAACCCCTAAACCCTACACCCTAAACACGAAACCCTGAACCTGAACCCCTAAACCCGAAACCCTAAACCCTCAACCCCAAACCCTGAACCCGAAACCCTGAAACCGTAAACCCGAAACCCTTTTACACCTGGACTACGCATCCTAACCCGAAGCCCTGAACCTGAACCCCTAAACCCTAAACCCTAAACCCTCAACCCTGAACCTGAACCCCCTAAACCCTAAACCCTGAACCCTGCGTCTTCTTCTGCCCAAGAGGCCGACCATGTCGGCGCCGGATCCATGCCGATGCTGGCGCCTGCTGAAGCTCCCGATCATTGCAGAAGGGGGTCTGAGGGTTGAGCGATTTAGGGTCTAAGGCTATTCAGGGTTTAGGGTTTAGGATTTAGGGTCTAAGGCTACTCAGGGCTTAGAGTTTCGGGTTTACTTTAGTGTTTACGGTTTCGGGTGCGGGGTCGAGGGCTTTCGGGCCTGTGGTCTAGGATGTAGCGCTTGGGGCATTGATATTTGGGTTTTGGGACGTAGGGTTCGGGACTTCGGCGTCACAGGGTCGGGATTCAGGGTAATGTAGGAGCCTTAATGATTAGAATAGGGTTTTGGGCCCCAGTATATAAGTATAATAAGGAACCCCCATAATGGTATTGGTACTTATTTAGGCCCCTATATTAAGGGGTTCAAAGCTAGTTCAAAACGGATTTAGGGTTCGGCTAAGCGCTTGCTAGATACAGCAGATAGGAGGTTCTCTCGCCTGCCTAAACCCGAAACCCTAAACCCTAAACCCTAAACCCTAAGGGCCAGTGTCATTCGCATGTAGGGGCTCGCAGGGCTTATTAACCCTAAACCCTAAACCCTAAAGCCTAAACCCTAAACAGGGGTTTAGGGGCTGAAGGATCCAAAGAGTCTTACATAACTTCAGCATAACTTCTGTCTGAGACAGCAATCTCTCTTGGGAGGGTGCTTGATATTTCTTGCTGCCTGCCTAGCTACTCTCACTGCCCCTGGAAAGTACGGGTAGTGCAGATCCCCGCAAGCATAGGGTTCTACGCTGACTAAGGCTACAGAAGAATGGCTGTATCGCAGTTCGGCCTAAGAGGTGCCCATGGGGCCGCAGCAATTAAAACAGGGTTTTGGGGCCCACTATACTATAATTATAATGAGGACCCCCCAAAATGGTGTTGGTACTTTTTTCCCGCCCCTTCTCATTCTCTGGGGAGCCCAGATACCCGAACAGTGCCATATCAGAGCTCTTTCGGTTTGGGGTTAAGGGCCGAAGGTTTAGGGTTTAGGATCTATGCTTTCGGGGATTTAGGGCCTCGGGATTGTGGACCGGGATTTCAGGTTCAGGGTTTAGGGTTGCGGGCTTAAGAAGTTTAGGGTTTAGGGTTTAGGAAGTTTTGGATTTGAGAACTACTCCGAGTCTTGTTGCCTACAGAACTTGACTTGAGTCTTCGGGCTCGTCTCAAACACTTCTAGGAGAGGCATTCGTCTTGCACGATAAAGCTTTCAACAAACTGCCAAGTCTGCATATCCGAGCGCGTCTCAAGAACAAGGCGGCTTAAACTCCGCCATATCCAAAAAAAGTCGATGCTAAGACTGACCATGGGGCGCAGGAGATAGGTTCCAAGATGCTCCAAGGCGGCTCCTACTGCCTATGGGCTACGTTGTAGTTCCCTTTGTTCACCTTAGATCCTTTTGCATCCGGGCTTGGGAGGTCGGCCGGGGAAAGTACCAACTTGTACCCAAAAAGGAACTACAACGGAGACTCACAGCTAAGCCCGGTGCCCTCTCCCTACACACACAGCGAGGCCCGATCCCGCGCCTGCTATGCCGCCCTCGATCTGAAGCTCAAGGAGCAGCACCAGGGAGTTCAGAAACACGAGGGGCCCCACGAGGTAGTCGAGTAGTGTGACTATCCGACCTCTCACGGCCACTGCCCTGAACCCTGAACCCTAAACCCTAAACCCTGAACCCTAAACCCTAAACCCTAAACCCTGAACCCTAAACCCTAAACCCTGAACCCTGAACCCTAAACCCTAAACCGTTGAAAGCTGCGGCTTAAGGTTCTCAAAGCCCTCGCTTTTTTCAGGCAGCGGCTCTCTCATCTGCCTGGATTGAACCTACAAGACAAGGCACGGTCTTACGGTAGGTACCGTAGGGGTCTGAATAACTAGACTATAGGGTTCCTTAAAAAGGCTTCAGGGTTTAGGGTTTAGGGTTTAGGGTCCCTTTAAAGGGATCTAGAAAGGTTCTTTACTGTATAGGGGCCTTGATCATTACGAATAGGGTTTTGGGCCTTTCTACTAGAATTATAATGCGGAACCCTGAGGAATGATATTGGTAGTTATTGAGGCTTCTATAGTAATCTTGGTTCACCCAGGCACCCTCTGGAGTAAATCACCCCCCTTTATTGCTGCTACGTCCGCTTGTGCTGGTTATACTACACGTATTTTCAGATGCTGTTGTTCTTATATCTATGGTTTCTCTTTGCTACAAGCACCAAGGTTATCATTAACGGCACTACTCTCAGTATTCTGCGTATTCGTGTAGAGGCCCCGAGACCCATAATAAGAAGAGGAAGAAGCATAATAAGAATAAGGCCAAGGATACGAACAAGAAGAAAACAATAAGAATACAGTAACAATCATAACAAACACAGCAATAACAATAATACTAATTCAGCAGTACTGACAGAAACACTGGCAGGACTATCAAATAACAAAACCAGAATGACATCAGTAATAACCATCATCATCATCGTCATCATCATCACCAACATACCAATAGGTTATAGCGAGTACAGCCAGTACCCCACACCACACCACAAACCCCCAGAACCGAAAACGCTAACAATACTGATAGCAACCATAGACTTGTGATGATGATGATGATGATGATGATGGTAAACGTAACAGCGATAATGATGATAGTAAGTATATCCATAATCCCACACCCTAAACAACCTAAAGACCCGAAAGCACCAAGTAATGTAGGGGCCATAATAATTAGAATAGGGTTTTGGGGGTTCCTTATTATACTTATAGTTTAATATATATATATATATACCCCAAACCCTATTCTAATTATTAAAGCCCCTAGAATACCAACCCGGGGTCCTCGGATCTGGTCGCACCAGGTCTGAGGAGTCTCGGAGATGGCAAAGGCAGCGGCTGCGCCTCGCTCTTCAGGGCTTGGGGCTTCGGGTCCGGCTTAGCTCTTAAGGGGGCTGTTCCAGGCAGTTTCTATGGGGCTTCGGGTATAGGTATAGGGTTTAGGGTTGAGGGTTTAGTGAGGCTCTCTTAAGGCGGCTCTGACAGGGTTTAGGGTCTGGGGTTAAGGGTTTAGGGCTAACTTAAGTGGGCTCTGAGGCTCTTGAAGGGCCCTGAGGCTTGGATGAGGTTTAGTGCCCTTGCAAGATGTCTGCCTGAACCACCCAAACTGTACTGCCTGAAAATGTCACTGCTGGCCCGCTGCAGGGGCGCCGCGCACAAGCCACGAGTTCGTTCGGTGACGTTGATGAGAAAAATCCGAAGGAGGAGGCGGCGGAGGAGGCTGGTGATGATGACAACGTAATCATGACGACGACATGTTGTCGGTGCTGTAAGCTTTGAATCCTAGGAGACACAGGAACTATGATTGAACGTGCAACCTCAATGCCCGATCGTTTGCGGGTGCCAGCGCCAAACCCTTGCCGAAACATTTTGACCGCGCTGGGGAGCTCGCATTCCGCTTCCTGTCCCAGCCCAAAAGCCATCCCGGACGGCTCCCCTTCTTGCCGGCCCGGCACGGACGTTGGTGCTTCCCATGCCAGGCGCCTTGGGAATGTGCTGAGCACTGCGGGGGTCCCACATTTAGGGGCGCTGATAGCCGGCATGCCAGAACCCGTAATGGCGAAGTCTTCATCCCGACAGCTACTATTTTCGATCTCAGCAGTCGCGGTATTCTATCTTGTATTCCGAACTGTACCATTTCACTGTGCTAGGGCTTGCAAAATTGCATCGTGCTGGGTGTAACAAGAGTCAGGACTGGGGCCTTGCTGGTTTGAAAGAGGTTTGTAGCGCAGTTTGAACCTGCGTAATGATTAAGGTCATTAAGGTTTACGGAAAGTTAAGTGTTTACGCTCTCAACGCGGAAAGTTTAGTGTTTAAGGTTTAAGGCTTTGGGTTTAGGGGTTACATCGACACCTCCCTCAAGTAAGACACCGACCAAACGCTTGGTTGGGCAGGGCAGTAGCCCTTCAAGAAACTGTTAAATCTGCAAGTGCGCAAAGCCCAAACCAGAGACTCTAAATATTAGGATCCGTATCGCATGTACCCCTCCTACATTGGAGTCCCCAAACATGGAGAAATCCCCAGAGAGTGCCCAGTATCAGTCTTTGGGGCAACAGGCGTTGCTGCTCCAATCACGCGGCGCCGAACCGGGGTCTGTGGTACGGGCCGCAACAGAGGAAAGGAATAGCTACAGTACCACAAGGGCCCTAAACCCTAAACCCTACGATAAAGTCAAAACCCTCAAGTAAACGGCCCTGGCTACAGCTCCCTGCGTCGGAGAGGCAGAGTTGGTCGAGACTCGGCCCACGGAGACCGGCGGCACAAACTCCTCACGGTACAGGGCATGACTGTTTTTGCTCGTCGTGCGGGTGTGAGCTTACGGTTCCGTCTCGACTCTTTTTCCCCCACCGCGGAGTAGGTCGGACGACGTGCCCCCAACAAAAGCATCTTAGGAATCACGAAAGCGAACGCAAAGCTCCAGAAGCTGGGAAGCCACTGGAGAACAGCGAGAGCTGAACCACCACAGAACGATCTTGTTACACCGGGACTTTCGAACGTCCTGCACCCCCTGCACCCAACGAGTGTCTGGCTCCCCCCCCCCCTCGAGGTCTACCCTCTGCTCGGGAACGGGTCAGATGGTTTGGGGTTTAGGGCCACGAAACCTGCAAATCGAAGCCCGGAAACAACAACACTACACCCTGAACAGTCAACACCATCGACTCTACAAGCTTTGTGGAAAGTCCGAATCCACCCTGAACCCAAACGGTTCGGGGTTTAGAGGGATTCGGGCTCCAAACGTCAGTCCTAAAATCATGGAAAACCAAATGCTGGAACCTTTAACCCCAGACACTGAACGCTTTTCAGAACGGACAGAGGTGCAGCCAGCGCCGATGCAACTCCTGAACCTTAAACCCTAAACTAACATACTATAGTAAAATGATGGAACAGAGAATAATCGAATAGAACAGAATAGAGCAGAACAGAAGAGAATAGAAACTGGCAGACTATACACTAGAACAAAAAAACACACTAGGACAAAAACATCGGCCCCTGCCTCCGAAACCTCGGAGCCCTCGGAGATCGAAGGGGAGCGCTGGAAAACCTCCAGCTTTTCCGGAGCCTCCTGGCATCTTGGGGCTTCTTCGCTGAGGGATCGCCTGTAAGGCCTTTGAGGGCTCTAGGGGGTTAGGGTTTTAGGGTGCTAGGGTTTTTTGTTGGTTTTAGGGTTCAGGGTTTTAGGGTGCTAGGGCTTTTTTGGGTTTTAGGGTTTTGGGGTTTGGGACTGTGGGCCTGAGGGACCTTATGGGTTTTAGGGACCTTATATGGGGTTTAGGGTTTAGGGTTTAGGGTTTAGGGTTAGTTGGTTTTAGGGACCTTATAACCAACTTGCGATGATCGTCCAGGGACGGAGTCTGTGTATGCCGCTCGCTTCGTTCAAGAACTCCCCTGCGGACATAGGAAAGTCCAAAAACTCGAACATGTCGCCCTCTGAGTCAAAGACACGGACAAAAAGCTGTAGCACGGTGCCTACGGCTGAAATCGCTCGTACACCCTAAACCCTAAACCCTACACCCTTTAAACGGCTTTCTGGGATTTCGGCGCTCACAGCTCGGACCATCCCGCCGGGGTCTCTAGGCGTGAAACAGTTCGGCAAACTGTCGCCGAATGTTCGGCGACTTTTCAACACGACCTTTTCAGGGGAGGGCGTTGGCTTAGGGTTTAGGGTTTAGGGTTTAGGGTTTAGAAGACACGGACGTTGGGCTTCCCTGTAGTGGCCCGTCAGATAGGAATGGGCATGGTAGAGGTGTGTGAGTGTGTGTGTGTGTGCCTCCCTTGATCCGTCAAGTAAGAACCCGTGTAAATTGTGAAATATGAATGAGCTGTAAAACCCCGTCAGGCATGGCAAATGTCTCGAATCCAGAACCACCTGCACAGGAAGACGCGCTACATGGTAAATCTCAAAACAGTAGACCTGAAACCCAAAACATTGAATAAGAAAGTTTCTAGTGTTCATGCGCCACCCCTCTAAGTACGACTGCGGTAGCGTCTTTGAGTGGGCGGACCTGCTGCCATCCGAGAGTGCCTTCTGAGGACTACTAACTACTACCTGCTGTTTCTGTAGCGGCCTCAATAATTAGAATAGGGCTTCGGGTTTATAAGGAACCCGCCAAATAGTATAGGTAATCATTTAGGCCCCTATGTTATGTGATAACACCTGCTTCCGACGCACCGCTTTTCTCTCTCTCCACCATATCCCAGTCGGCACTGTCCGAAGACCCAGGCCAGTCTATGCATGCCCAACTTAATAATTAGAATAGGGGTTTTGGGGTCTACTATACTATAGTTATACTAAGGAACCCCCCAAACCTTATTTTAATCATTAAGGCCCCTATATTAAAGCCCCGCTAAGTTACGAAGCAAAAAGCACCCCTCCCCACTCCTCTCAAGATGCCCTGCAGTCCCTGGTCCTCCGGTAGTGCTTCGGGAGCACGGAGCTGCACCGAGGACGGCTGACGCGAAGAGGTCACCGCGAGCTTGATCCCTGCGCCCGAACACGCCTATAGGCTTTAGGGCACTGGGTCTCCGACACATGGAATCATGATTCCCAGGCATTCCGAGACCAACTCATGGGTCCGGTGCGGGGAACAGCCCGTGCCTGCCGCAAGAGGTGTCTGCAACTGGTCCGAAGCAGCTTGGGCGTCGCCACCTACAGGTGCCAGCTCGGACGTTCAGGGTTTTGTAACCCCCTTCCATAGCACGAACACTTGAAACTACTGAGCCCTGCCACTGCTGCTGCCGCTCATGCCAAGTGACAAGCCTAAGGACAGATCTCAACCCCCTCACCCCTAAACCCTAAACCCCCATATTCCAAACCCTAAACTCTATAAACCCTAAGCCCCCATATCCCAAACCCCAAACCCTGAACCCTCATATCCCAAGAGGTGGTGGTCACTTCCAGGCTGTGGCACAGAATTTCCCAAGCCGGGCAGCAAGTGCCGGGAACCGACAGGCGCTGGAAGGCCTCCTCCCACCGCAAAAAGCTCAGGGACTTAAGGGTTTAGGGGTTTAGGGTTTAGGGGTTTAGGGGTTTAGGGTTCAGGGGTTTAGGGGGTTTAGGGTTTAGGGGTTTAGGATTTAGGATTTAGGGTAGGTTTCCGGGGGTTGAAGGCAGAGCCCTGGTTCATCTGGTGGTGCATCCTAACGCCGCATCGAAACACCAAGATAAAAAACTACCGGGTAGAAAACGCCGAAGCCCGACAAACCGATTCTGTCCGCAGTCACCCCTCAACCCTCACCATCCCTCAATCAGAACCTGATCCCTGAAACGGTCCTGGATAGCTTCCTCCAACACTGCGTGCTGCGCCTTGTGGGCTGGGCTGGTGGGCCACTAGGCTTGGGAGCCTCTGCCCAGAAAGGGGTGGGTGTACTTGGAGGTTCATGGGTAGTTATAAGTGGGGTTATAAGTAGGGTAACTATAGTTATAGCCCATATTAGGGAACTTATAACCCCACTTATAACTACCCATGAACCTCCAAGTAAGGCTTACGCATTTTGGGTTCAAGATATTGGAGCTCAGCGCCTGGGTGTTACGACGAGTAGATGGGGAGCTCCGAGCCTTCGCTGAAAGTCACAGCCGGAGGCGTTCTGAGAGTTTAGGGTTTAGGCTTTAGGGAGGATTTCAGCCCCTGCGACGTCGGAGGAATGCGTGAGTACGATGTGGGCACGGGAAGTCAGCAGACTGCCTTCAAGGATGGTGTCCCAGAGACTCCAATATCCCTTAATTAAGGAATATACCTTAAACTATAGTAGGATCCCTAATATGATTTAAGGTATACTGCTTAATTAAGGGGTATTGGAGTCTCTGGGGTGCCATGAGCACCAGAAAGTCCTGTATGAAAGGAAACATCACCCGGCCACTGGAAAGAAGGAACCCCAAGCCAGACCAAGGGCGCGCCCTCCCCAAGCGCAAAAGCCTCGAAGCAGCTGCACCATCCTAAACCCTGAACCCTTCAACGGAATTTAAAGCAAAAAACCCCCCCAACTCTTCAGCCTTCTTAAAACTCTAAAGCCCCTACCCCCAAAAGGCCCTGAACCGTAATTCGTCGAAGGCCGCCGGGGCACAACTGCCAAGCCCAGCAGACGCTGCTGTTCCTTGGCCAGCAGCGTGAAGCCATTCTCTTCCTCCGGCTAGGGTTTAGGGTTTAGGGTTTTAGGGTTTTGGGTTTAGGGTCCATGGGATTCGAGACAAAAGTTTAGGGACTCTGGCTTTTGTCGGGGCCTTGTGACATTCTTGGGCGGGCTGTGAATTGGACAGAGGCGCTAGTTCCCTGGATTCTGGGAGATGGGGAGAACCGCACTGCGTTGCGGAAAGGGCACAGAGTATAGCGGGCATACCCGCAAGTTGGATCAAGCGATCCGCCCAAGAGTGTTCATCGAATCATAGCACTTAGAGTGATGAGCGCTAGCGCCATCACCCTGCTCCGGGATGAGAGCAGTGGTGACCTGGGCTTCAGAGCCTTGAACAGTGCAAACCTGGGGACGCATGTGCACCTGAAGTTACTTGCACATGCAAGGAGTCCCAGTCCAAGCCGCAAGGCATGTTCTGTAGAAACAAGAGAAACTGCTGATGGGACGTGTTTGGGCGGCAGCAGTGCTACCCCGGCAAATGTTGTTAGGTTTAGGCAAAACCACCATGCGGTGTTCCGAAAGCTGACACGGACAAACTCCTTCCGGTTCCGAAGACAACCTGAAAATACGAAACCTGTCAACACCTGCAGCATCTGCAGCTCAAAAACCCAAAACTTCAAATGCCATCACTCGAACAGAATTCTCTGCATGCCTCTGATTCCATGGCGCCGGCAGAGACGCGGCAGTTTTACGCACGGGTCTGCGGAATATCTGGGTGTTTGGGCATCAGCTTTCGGTTGACGCTTTCGGGTTGCTGAGTTCCGGCTCAGGGCTCGCTTCTTCATGCTTCTTCATAGGGTTTAGGGTTTAGGAGTTTTAGGGTTTAGGGTTTAGGGTTTAGGGTTTGGGGTTAGGGTTTAGGGTTTAGGGCTTAGGGTTTAGGGCACAGGTCTCTTTCTGCCGAAATTTCAGGGTGCCACATTGTGTAGGCTGCGGTGCTTGCTTATGTGGTCTGCTGACCTACGCTTTTGATGCCATGCCTTATGCATTATTCGTCCCCTCCAGGCCCTCGACAGAAAAACCGAAGCGCCTCTTGCATGAGATGTATCCTGGACATGTTTCGTGCAACTACCTTAAAACCCCTTCCCACAGATGTGATGCACGACCTGCAATATTCTTGACACCTGAACACCGGACACTAAGTCCTAAACCCTGAACCCTAAACAGTTGGGAGCTAAAACGCTGCAGGTTGATGCAGACAATGTGCAAGCCGGGTTTCAAGTTTTTTAGGGGTGTTAGGGTTTTGGGGTTTTAGGGCTTTAGGGCTTTAGGGCTTTAGGGTTTTAGGGTTTAGGGTTTTAGGGTTTTAGGTTTAGGCTTCAGGGGGTTTCGGTGGGGTTTAGGCTTGGGGTTCGCTTCCCTCTCGCATAGGCAACATCTCCGCTCACAAGCGTTTCGGCTTGTGGGGTTAAGGGTCTACTTGGAGGTTCATGGGTAGCTACAAGTGGGGTTATAAGTAGGGTAACTATAGTTATAACCCATATTAGGGGACATATAAGCCCAGTTCTAACTACCCATGAACCTCCAAGTAGGGTCCAAGAAATAAAGACGCACCATCCGAAAAACAGCTGCATCTACATCAGCGCCTTGAGGCCGCGCAGACCCATTGAAGGGCTAGGGTTGGGGTTGAGGACCGTGTCGGACAGTGAGAACCTCCTCCGCGCAACACAAAGCAACTCCGTGATCCAACTCATTTCTTCAGAAGATCAGCCTCCCCCAATTAGGGCTCAGGGTTTAGGGTTCAGGGTTTAGCCTTTAGATTTAGGCTTTGCTGGTCAATAAACTTCTCCTGCATGATGTAGATGCGAGCCATACAGCACTGGCGGGACAACCACACGCGAATTCCTTAAAATGCCTCGAGCCCTGAACCTCGGAGCGATAATTTCACTGCTTTCGATTCCTTTCTCTCACAGGCAAAGCCATTGCTTCAAACCGGAAACAGTAGATCATGGCACTGCTACTGGCATAAAGCATGAGGGTGCTGGTTACGATGTTTCTACAGCTAGGGACAATTAGGAGGACGGGAAGGAGGGATTCCGATCATAACCACAACCGTTTAAGCGGAATAGTCAGGTTGACTGGCAACATTCTCAACCCAAGCAACACAAAAAGTGTTGGTAAACTCGCCTTTGCAAAGATGTTTGTGCAAATGCGACATGTGCCGCGAACCAGCTGCGTTTATTCCCTGGGACCCCTTCAATGGCCTGCAGGTGCTTCGAGACCGGGTCGAAGGAATCCATGACCACGCCAGCGGCAAACACATGTGTCGCCTCTCCTGTACTTGGAGGTTCATGGGTACAGTTATGAGTGGGGTTATAAGTCCACTAATATGGGTTATAACTATAGTTACCCTACTTATAACCCCACTTATAACTACCCATGAACCTCCAAGTATGAAAGGTAAAAACAGAGGTTCAGGCTGCTGGGAAAGAAACCGACTCAGAGACTGCACCCGGAGTCAACTATGCTCCTCTCGGCTTGAACGCTTGGACATGGAAACAACAATTGCATCACATCTGCCAGGAAGCAAAACCTGAATAATCCTCCTTCCGTGCAGAAGGCTCCGACACAATCAGGGTTCAGGGTTCAGGGTTCAAGGTTAAGGGTTCAGGGTTAAGGGTTCAGGGTTAAGGGTTTAGGATTCAGGGTTTGGGGTTTCGGGTCAAGGGCTTCTGCTTCTTCACAGACACCCTCCTTAAAAATTGTGAAAATCTCACACACGCTCTGACAAGAAGTGACTATTCTGCGGTCCTCCGACCAGTTGCTCGTGCATGATGCAAATGTCCTCCTGCGGAAGCTTCCGGGGGTTCGGTATCTGTGGCAGGATGATTCAGCAGTTTAGCGGCTTACGGCTTAGCGCACTTGTATTGGCAGCTTCCAGAAGCTCCTGTTTTGGATTCATGACAGTTCAGGGTTTCGGGTTTGCGGTTGAGGCTTTGTAGGGGTTTGGGGGTTTCATCTGCTAGACCCGGAGCGGCGGTCGATGACGAAAAAAGCTGATCTGCACATTGTGGAAAGTCTCGAAGTCGAAGGTAGTCATCTAGATTCAGCTACGACGGAAAATACTGCGTGCATGAGCTTTCATCGCCTGCACGCCAGCAGTTGCCCATGCGCAGGTTTGTTATTGGGAGTTTGCACATGTCCACTTCGAGAAGCCAGGCCGATATACTGGCCCCCACATCCACGCGCTAATCTTCATGTGCATGCACGTGTAAATGCACGAATGCATAGGACGGAGTGTTGTGTGCTCTGAACACATGCTCACACCCATCTCCCCAAACCATGTTGTTCCGAAACGTCGCCAATGTTGTAACACTCCTGGTTGTGCTCTTATGATTGCGGGTCGTTAAGACCTGCTCGCCCCAGACGATGATGCCTGTACATCTCATACGGCATGATGCTCCCAATCGGTATGTGTGTAGTTCTCTAAATTAGGGTCCCTTTGAGGGTCCTCTTTAAAGGGCGCCGCACTATATTGGGGACCTAAAAAGGGACCCAAATTTAGAGAACTACCCCTTCAAACCCCGGCCCAGACCCGCCTGCAACAGGGACCCGAGCAGCTCAAGTGGCTTGTCGGCATAGTCGGCAACGTCCCAGTGCAGCCCTCGGCGAGAAGACCGGAGTGCGGAATCGTTGATGCGAGGCCCTGCTCGAACCCCTTTGGGGGGTACTTGGAGGATCTTGGGACTTAGTAAGTAGGGTTAGAAGTACCTTAATTGGGGTTATAAGTATGGTTACCTTGTTTACAACCTCAGTTACTAAGTCCCATGATCCTTTAAGTATTCAAAATCCTGACGGAACATCGGAGAAAACGGGTTGTTTGTACACTCACACTCGGACAAGCCTTGCAAGGTCTGTAGCGATACTTGTCAAGAACAGGGGTTTAGGGTTTAGGGTTTAGGGACGGAACATTGGAGACAAAAAACCTTGGCGCTTGAGGTGAGCAGTTCCTCGCCTCGGGCTCAAATGCAAAAACCAAACTTTGGATTCTGGGGGAATTGCAGCATCGGGTCACGGAATCCAGGACACCTCTGGCTTTTGCGCATTCCGACCTATAAGATATTGTATTGCGACCCAGGTTTTGCTCGCTGGACACCGAACTTACAGGTATGAATCGAGCTTTGGATGTTTGGAGATCTCTCAAACATGTCTTGTGAGTAGTGGTGGTAACCCCTAAACTCCCGCACCTCACTAAACTGGTGCTTCTCGAGCCGTCAACCTCAACCCGAAACCTCCAAAACCTGAACCTTGACTTTTTAATCCTGAGTCGCGGACAAAACTCTCATTGTCTAGACCTGAAGCCTAAACCTTGATTCCTACATCCCTGTATCGGGTTGGTTTAGAGTTGATATGCGTCCCTTTATCCTGCTCCTCTGGCCTCCTCATGGCCCTGAACTAAACATAGGGGCCGTAACGATTAGAATAGAGCTTTGGAGCTATATTATACTAGACTATTATGTCTACGGAACCCCCAAACAGGTATTGATGACTAATTTGGGCCTTTATGGTAGACCTGAACGCCCTCAGCGGTTCCCATCTGTGTAGTACAAGGACAAACGTCGATTCCGATGACAAATGAGTTGGACTAGGGATTTGCAGGGCCTTACAAGGTTTTCTAGGGTTGCGGGATAGCCACAACTCCAAACCCTGTGCAGAAACAGGTTTTCGGGGTTAAGGTTTTGAAAGCTCTTGACACGGGAGGGTTCCGAGTCCACCGCCCTCGCCGAGGCTGCTGAACCTCGCAGAGGAGGGTTTTGGTTTTTGGGGCACCCGAGATTACAGGAGTTTCAGGGGCTTACTTAGGGTTACAAGGAGAGGCTTGCAGCTGGCTTCAGGCTTTGTTTAAGAATTTTCTGCCTGGCTTCATGGAATCTAATAACAGTACCCTTCAACCGCAACCTTTCTTCAGGCTATCCTGCAGTTTCTTGCGTGGCTTGCCCTACTGTGCTGCAGCAGCCGCTCCCTTTCAGGGATTGGAGTCTAGGGTTGCGCCGGACATTGACAGGAGACTTGGACATTGGTGCGGCAGCGGCAACAACGACGTTATTGATGCTACACAAACAACACACGATCTCAAGCCTCCAGCAGAAAGGCGACACCCAGGGCGACAGCAACAACGACTACGCATCCCCTGTAGACCTCCTGCTGCTGCTGGGCGGCTTCGTCTCATAGTAGGAATGATAGCATCGGTACCGAATTCTTCGCGCAAGTAGGAGCAGGAAAGAAGCAGGAGCCGTTTAGTCGCAGCGGTAATACCGGTAGCAGTAGCGGCAGTAGCAGCAGCAGAAGGGGAAGGCAAAGGAGAAGGATCAGGAGCAGGAGTAGAAGTAACAGTAGCAGTGAAAGTAGCAGTAACAGTAGCAGTGGCGGCGGTGGTGGTGGTGGTGGCAATACTAGCAGCAGCAGCAGCAGCAGCAGCAGTAGTGAGGCTAGTAGTCGTTATTGCTGTTGTAGCCGTAGCCGTCGCAGCCGCAGGAAATACCAGAGTAGTCGTTGCTGCAGCGTTTAGCGGCGGACGTGGGAAGTGCAGGAAGAGAGGGGCGCAACAAGCAGCTGGAGCAGTCGGAGTGTTCGCGGTGGCCGAAACATAAAGATCCACGGTACAGTCGACGGGATCTCATAAAGCACATTTACAACTACAACAAGTCACGGCAGTTTGATGTT